GACCAAAACGAATATAACTACCGTCCATAACGGGCATGTGCCAAAATCTCAAAAAGAATACCCTACTCGCTGGGTAATCAATCATAGAGTTAAAACTTTGCAACTAATCAAATATTCTATGTGTGCTCATCTTGTGGCTATAGCCCGATACTCTTGTAATGTTCTTACTCAATCGCTCTGCCGGCAATGGATTTTATTATCCTCCTATTTCCCGATACAGTGTAATAACGATACTATATATAATACTCTTACTCAATGTTCTGTGGTAATAGGTTTTTATCTTCCTATTTCCGGATACTGTGTGAAAGATAAAACACTAGTCATGGTATTTATAAATTATTAACTTGTGGACAAAAAGTGTGTTAATTAACACAAACTAAGCATAAGTTGCACATATTGTTGCGTGTGCGTGTTCCAACATCTAAAATTCACCATAAATCCAGCGTATTTAATAAGTTTTAACATTGTAGTTAATCATCATCAGGTCGAGAGGAAACGGCGCGACAAACAGAAATGCAAAACCAAATACCATGCATAGGTCAACATCAGACTGCTCGCGGTCGGACCTTGGTGATCGATCGCCAACGGGCTCCAAGAGACTACCTAGGTCTCTGCCCTGCACGGCGGCTCGACCGTGGCGGTCAACCCGTGAGCCACAAATCTAGTTGATTTTTCTAAGATTTTTGTGTCTACGTTGTGTACATGTTCACATCGTGTTTTTGTGAATTTAAACATGCGTAAAAAACTTCTATGCAATCTTGTATACAAACATAGTTACAGCAGATAGAAATTATCTCGGAAACAAAATCAACATGTATAACCATGATTTTGCATTATATTTATGAATTCAAAACTCCTAAAACATGAGTAAAGCTCAAAACGATGAATCAACTTATTTCTTTAGATTAACCATGTTTTAAATATTCATCTTCAGATCTTAGTACATCTGCTTAAAGATTCGTCTCAACCTTTTAGCCATGAAAAGACCTAATCTTTATACATATAATACAAACGAGTTGTCTTGTTATTCCATAAAATTTTCTTAGTCATTTAGGCTCTACAAACATGTTAAAATCTCTTTAAAAGCATTTTGAAAACTTGGAGAGGCGGATTAGCAGAGATGATTACTCGCCTGAGATTGGTCAAAAATGTTTAGAAGCAATGTTGAAAGAAATCTCACTCCAAAAGCCAAAAACTAAGCAAATCCCGCTCGAAAGCCTCCAATCTTCTCCCAAGAAATCAAACTTAGGTTTTGGGCGGTTTGGTGGCTGTTATGGTTCTTAGAAGAACTAGAAAACTGAAAAACTCATATATATATATTATATATATACTAATATATATTATAATATATATATATATTATATATATATATATATCAAAGGGAAAACGAATATGGCGTTTAGCAAATGCTTGAAACTAACTCAAAAACAGGATTTTAAAAATACTCTCCCAGTTCGCGGCTCGACCGCCGGCGGTCGACCGACTGCCGGTCGACCGTGGCGCGTCGACCGCCACTGGTATTTCCAGCTTTTTCAAGGTTTGGTCATTGTGCATGTTTCGACTTTTTTTTCTCTCTCATGTATGAACTCGTTCATACTCAAAAACCACCATGGTATTATACTCATTTACCATTAATGATATTTATCATACTAAATATCCATATATCATAATTAACCCGTTCATATTATATATCATTCAAAATTTATCGGCGGTTTTACATTCACCCCCCCCCCCCCCCCCCCCCCCCCCCCCTTAAGAGGATTTCGTCCTCGAAATTTCCGCAGTCGCATCACAAAGCCTTCATAACTTGGGCCAACTCATAAGAAGGTGGTATTGTCATACTATAGAAAAACCTTCTTGCACCCATCTCATAGTAATTTAGCACCAATGATATTTAAACGTTAACAACTTTAGAATGCAAACATCTCACCTAAATCCCTAACTGAATGGAAATTGGTACGTCGAGCCGAAAATAATCCAAACAAGCGAAAACCTCATGTATATACCATATGTTTCAAATTGATAAGGATCAGGTGACAATATACTCATTCTAGTGTTAAAGGTAAAATATAAATGCTGTTAAACATATCATTGTGTCTAAACAACCATAGATAAATGATAATTATCAAAGCATCAACATTCATTACCTGTCCAACAGGTGTGGGTAGTCGTGACGAAACATCCTTCTCGCCACTCCCAAGAAATCTCTTCGGGCTCCTTGCCGGGTTCCACTATACTTTCACTAATGGAATGACTTTATTTCTAAGTTTTTATTCTCTATAGCAAGGATGCCATACCAGGAATCTCTACGCGTAGTCAAGTATCCTGATTCTCAATCTCTGCGTGAGTGCAATCACTCTGTACTTCTCATCGTCTCGCCAGAGCTTCTTAAAGGCAATTGAAATATAAAAATTCGTGTACACTCGATATCGCGATGCTGACAGGTCTAACCTGTAAGAACAGCTCCAATGCGCTCGATGATCCGAAAGAACCAAATATCTCGGGCCAAGCTTCCCCCGTCTACCAAAACGCTGAACGCCCTTCATCGGGTGATACTTTCAACATAATCTAAGTCTCGAACCTGGAAACTCTAAAGGTCGTCTTCGTTGATCTGTATAGCTCTTTTGCCGAGTGACTCTGCGGCTACAAGATGTGCTCTCGAATCAATACTACCTTTTCTGTGTGCTGTCTTAACTAACTCCGGACCAATCAATAGACTATCCTCTGGCTCTGCCCAACATTATGGGATGATCTGCAAGGTCGCTGCTACAAGCTTCATACGGTGCCATCCTGATGGTAGCTTGGATAACTGTTATTATATGCCCAAATTTTAATCAGTGGGATGTGATCCTTTCCCAGCTTAGCCCTGAAAAATCATTAATGCACGCTCTCAACATGCCCAGCCATTTGAAAAACACTGCCTAAATGACAACTGCACTGCAAAAGCATCCTAAAAACTCCTCCAAAATTGAGATGTGAATTATCTGAGCCCCGATTCGATTACAATCGGTCTTCGGGACTCCATGCAATCTAATAATCTCTCG